CCCCCCCCCCCCCCCCCCCCCCCCCCCCCCCCCCCCCCCCCCCCCCCCCCCCCCCCCCCCCCCCCCCCCCCCCCCCCCCCCCCCCCCCCCCCCCCCCCCCCCCCCCCCCCCCCCCCCCCCCCCTAATAATAAAGAAGAAAAATAATAAGAAAGTTGATTATTTATAATCTATTTCTAAAATCTGAAATGTAAGTTTGTGATTTTTTTTCCTTTCATATACACTGATAGAAATCGCATCGATCCAGAAACATAATTACATAGGAAAAGCGTCAATTTTACTACCCTTAAAGTACATATTAAATAGTACGTTTCATTCCTTATACGTGTAGGAAGCAAGGATCACTCCACAGTGTCCGCTCCTTCCTCTTCTATTTTTTATTTAATCATTTCCGTGCCAATGTTACAATTGTTCTTTCATTCGATGTCTTATGTCAATAAAGGGTACGGAAGCAACCTATATATCCATATTCATAAATAATTTCACACTCAAATAAAACAAATTCTGGCAAATATATATTTAAAGCTTAGTAATAACGTATATATAGACAGATGAAGAGAGACAGAGAGAAAGAGAGATATCGTCTTCATTGCTATTATTCTTATACATTTTTCCAAAGGTATGTTCTTAACTTGATATTATAAAGTGTATGTAGAAAAAGGAAACTTTTTTCTTCTCTCTCTGTGTCTCTTTCTCTCTCTCTCTATCTGTCTTGTGGTCTATATTTGTATTTCATTTTGCAAATGAAGGAATTTGTCAGTTTTCGTACTTTTTTTTATTGTTCTTTAACAAACGGAAGCCGAGCTTATAATTTATACAGACCTACAGTAATAATAGTAATAATAATAAGAAAAAAAATAGGTTCTTTTTTAAAGTTTACTATCTCTCTTTCTCTCTTTCTGTGTACACGACTTTTATAAATCCATTTCAATACGTAAAATATAGAACGTTTAACCATCCCGAGCATACTACTGAAGAAAAAGTTAGAGTGTCCGATTTTTTGCTGTTTTTTAATCTCCATTGTTCACCAATTGAACTAAATTGTTCTCAAATTTTGTTTATTCTGGATCTTATAACTATTAGCAGTACTTTTGTCTTCTCTCAACAAATTTCTTTTTCTTTTTGTATTTACTAGACTTTTGATTTTTACAATTTTAGAAATAGTTCTAAAAGGTTAATCTTTTCACTCGCTTTTTCTGGATAACTTTTGATACATACTATAGATCATATTTCGTTTACTCTTTTATTACTTTGATGAGTAAAACATTACTCATTTAGTTAAAATTGTAATAGATACCTATTCATAAGTATAGTTAACAAAGATCATTTTTACATAGAATTAAACAAGATTTAAGTCATGAAAAGTATGTAATTTAATCGAGTCAGATATCGTCACAATCACATAAATTTCTGTTGATCTTTCTCTTAAACAATTATATCCGTAGGACATTGACAAAAAATTCTATAGTCTCGTTTTGTAGTGTTGTATAGTTTATTATAGGATGAGAGTTGAGTTTTAAAATATATTTGGTTAGAAGGAGTATGTTCAACTTTTTAACTTGTTTGAACTAAATACACAAAGCCTGAATACAAAACAACTTTCTAAAACAGATTTCATATTGCACAGATTAATTTATTTTCTTTGTTCATTTTAACGTATAACTAATAGCCTGAAGAAAGAAATTCTCAATCGTAATTTTATCCCTACTTCTCGTTCCATTACGTATGTCAATGTAAAATTCAAGTGGAGATTTTTCAGTCTCCTTCACTCTCAGAAGCATTTTTTATTTTTTATTGAAAAAAAAAAAAATAAATAAGCAAAAAAATATAATTGATTTTATATGTAAGTCTTGAATAGTCAGACATTATTTTATTAGAATAAGTTTAAGAAATGGTACGAAGATTGTCGTTATATTTTTCTAATTAATTAAAGTCGTAGAAATATCGACATAAAACCATATTATATCCACAAAAAAGCTGCTTTTTTAAACTATGAACGTCTGTTTATTGTGTTTCCAATCAATATGTTCCTGACCAAATTTAGCTATCTATTATCCCTCAAATATGACTATGATTTTTTTCTTTACTTTTACTCAAAATTTCAAATTTCGAGAAACACCTTTAAAAGTTGGTCTAAAAAGAAATCTTGACCTATCACTTGTTGTATAAAAATGAAAATATCCACTACCAAATAAAAAAGAAGATCTAAATTTTTGTAGAAAGTGGTCATTTGAGTATTAAGTGTATGCATTTTTTTTGTCAAAAAAACAGTACTACACTTATCAGTTGAAGTTTCATACATGAAGTGTCTACTATTTTTGTTGTATAAACAACATCATTAACAATATCCTTTTTTCTCTTTTCTTTTAGAGATCTATGAAGGTATGTGTATTAATAGTTTTGATTCGTTTGTGTCAGTCTATGTTGAAAGATTAGCTGATAACTTATTGTGAGCAAACTGAAAGACGATTAAGAGAAAAATTTCAAACAACGGTTTCGGACGCATTACAGTAGCGATGTACAGGTTAAAAACTTTTTGAGTCGTTATCCTACAGAATAGGATAGGACTAGGACATTCTAAACATTCATACGCTGCATTTTATTGAATAAAATATAAAATAGTATATTCAACAGGTTTATATCCATTTGTTTTAGCGTCTACTATCACATGATACTGAAACTTCAAAAGTTCTTCCAGAAGAAGACATGAATAACAACAGTAATAATAATACGCACCAAAATGGTGGTGATGTTAATGATGCAAAAAAGGTGCGTAAGAAATAAAACATCAAATGAAGATGATTTTTATTGTTTTTGAACATTTCAATATCTAATATTTTTTAATTATGTTTCTTTTACCATAGTTTATGTCTTAAACAGATATTCTGCTAAATAATAGTTATTTTTGAGTATGCATCGTTTAATAATCGAACAGGTTGTTTTAACTCCGATGAAACGATCTACACTGAAGAACTCTAATTATTGAAAAAAATAAAAACAAATTGAAATTTTATTTCAGTTATCTATAATGTGTCTTTTTCATCATTTTCAGGCTCGTATTGAAAAAAGTCCACCATCGCGTGTTGTCCATTTACGAAATATTGATGCCAGTGAAGTTGAAATTGTTCAATTTGGATTACCATTTGGAAAAATAACCAACGTATTAAATTTAAGAAAAAAAAATCAAGTATGAATGAGAGCGTCTATCGTTCGAACGTTAATAAATTATAAATGTTTGAGTGTAAATTGTTTAGGCATTTTTGGAGTTTGATACAATTGATCATGCTCAAGCAATGGTCGAATATTTTTCATCTGTACCGATCTTGTTAAATGGTCGTCAAATATTTGTTCAATTTTCAAATCATCAAGAATTAAAAACCGATCCAAATAATGCAAACAATCAACAAGCTCAAGCTGCACTACAATCAGCAACACTTTTACAAGATATTGGACAAACAGGCGGACAAAATTGTGTTTTACGTGTTGTTGTTACAAATATGTTATATCCTGTCAGTGTAGAAATATTCAATCAGGTACATTCATTTTCTGCTACATAAATCTTTACCGTCGTTTCAATTTTCTTTTTGGTAGATATTCGGCAAATTTGGTGTCGTTCTTAAAATCATTACATTTACAAAAAATGGTACGTAGAAGGAATATTGAATATCTGTATAAATTATGTCTTTAAATTTTTAGATAAATTTCAAGCTTTAATACAAATGAAAGATGCAAATACGGCACAATCAGCAAAACTGGTAAGATTATTTTAACTAGGTATTTCTATTATATAATTTGATATTTTTATTTAGAATCTTCATGGGCAAAACATTTACAATGGCTGTTGTACATTACAAATTGATTTTTCTAAGTTACATTCTTTAAATGTGAAATATAATAATGAAAAAAGTAGAGATTATACAAATCCAACATTGCCCGCTGGTGAAAATGCAAATGAACCAATTAATATAGGCGGACGATATTTAACAGGTTTGAAATAAAATAATCACGAATTATTATATCATACAGAAAAATTACATAAATTGAATGTTTTTGTTTAGGCATTCCAAATGTTTATGGTTCACCAATCATGACGGTACCTGTTAGTAGTTTAGGTGGAGCACCGTTGACAGCCCTATCTGTCAGCAATGCATTACAATTTTCTGGTAAGATTAATACTTCATGTGACAATTTATCTCAAATATTTAATTGATTTCTTACAAAATATTCTTCCTTATTAATAGGTGGTGCGACAATGTTAAGTGCATCTGCTGGTAATCCATTAAATTCATTAGCAAGTGCTCAACACTTTAGTATTAGTCCAATGACAAATGGAACATCGACAATCTCTTTACCATCACCATCAAATGGCAATGTACAAACAATTTCCAACAGTCATCCTCAATCGGGACCCATTCAATCATCACAATCGAGTCCATACATATTTTTACCAAATTTAAACGATGAGGTATGTGGAAAAACGCCATTGTTTTTCTATAATAGTCCTCAATCAACAATGTATCATGATGTTTTACGTTTGTGATAATGCTACTACTACATATCGTTTAGAAAATATCACCTCTGTGTTTTGTGATTTTGTTTGTTTGTCTCTCTTATTCTTAATTCTTGAAAAATTGGCTTTTTATTGATTTATTTAATATTGCCATTCCATGATAAATTCTTATATTTTAATCACAGACATAGTTTTAAAATTATATGGTGCTTTATGCTCCTGTACATTTAATTCTTCAATCTGGTGCAAATAACGCAAAAAAAAAAACTTAATAAATGATTTCCCTGTCCAAACGTTAAGTTCCGTCCGCTTATTATATACAGTCGATACCTACCTCTTTCTCTCTGTGAATTTAAAAAACACATGTGAATATTTTTTTTTTTTTGTCTCTTTTGTTATTCTTTTAATTTACAATATTTTTTATTTGACTGTACGACAATCAAACAGAGAAAAGAATGATAAGGACTTTGTTGTTGATGTTGGTTTGTGACAACTCATTATGCTATAGGCATAAAATTAATTAGTCCTTGTCTAACGTATAGTCATTCTACTTTTTTTTTCTTTGTTTTATTGAATTAATTCTTGAGCTGGAATGAAAAATATTCAAACAGATCTGAATTTTACTTCAGCATTTTGCACAAAAATTATACAGTATGTGAGCTTCAATTCTTCTTTTTTAAACGTTTCTCTATTTTCCTTTGATCTACTGCAGAAAATGTGTACAATTTTTAATTTATTGTTGGCTCTTTTCTTTTGTTGATTTCTACATTGAAGTTTCGTTTACGTGTAACAATAAACTTTGATCCTTCTGTCTTTGAGAATGTCTGATGTTTTTTTCTGTATTCCGACATTGTTTCTTTTAAAAAAAAATAACTTTTTTCTCTTGGTAAAAAAAATTTAAAAAAAAATAATTTCTATCCTCTATATATTTTTTTTCAGCTCGAAATACAGTTGATTTACTGAACAATCAAAGGTAAAATATTTATACTATACATACATATACACAAAATACACAGTACACACCTCTATCTTCTTGATCTTTTGGTCGCCACTTTCCCTTTTATACGTATTTGATTATTATTCATGTCTTCTTCTTAATCGTCTTTTTACTCCTCTTTGGTTATTTTTTTTTTCAAATACAAAAATGGCTTTTTTTGAAGTTCTTCTGCCTTTACTCCTGAAACCGGCGTTTTAGTTTTAAAAAAGAAAAAATAGATTAACTTTCTCTCGTAGAACGTGTGTCCAAAATCATGTTTGGTTTGCCTCTCTCCTTCTCATCTATTAGCTTGGTTATGGTACTGTCCTTTTTTATAAATGTCAGAAAACTCGTAGTATTTGTGATAAAGAATTATCCTTCAGAAACCTATGCTTGGTATCTATATAATAATCGATTATGTAAATATATAGCCAACCATATCTAAATTACTCTCGTTCTGCATAATGCACCGCATAATGTTGATTAATTTAATTGATCTATACGTTTGCACACTATTCTTTAGATTGATGTTTGCTTTTTCCCTCCATTTCTGTGTAAAAGCTATATCAGCGGGCATTCTACTTCAGCTATTTACAATCTTCACACTTAGCTCTATTCCACAGTCAAACACTAAACATATGTAGACTATAGTCATCTTGGACAGAATATTAACCGAAATTTAATCCGAAGTTTGAAAAAATTAAAATATTTAATTTAACGTTGTGTTCTTCATTTCTATATTAAAGACGAGTCTCGTTCTGTAGTTTGCAGTAGAGCGGCTTGTCCACGTAACGCGACACTTTGCTGATCAAGTTTTTTTTTGAATTTTTTTCATCGGAAAATCGATAGGGGCACATCACTAGACGCAACTTTTCATGTTGGCCACGAATCTGACTTTTTCTAAAGAAAAAAATTAATTTTCAATATAAAAATTTGACTTTAAAAATTTGAAAAACATACGATTGAATAGAGAATTCAATTCTCTACAAAATGGGTCATTTTGTTTTGAGATCTATTTTTCAGTCGAGACATAGTGGCTGTTTGAATGTTTCAACTTCCGCCTTCGTCTGAAAGTCTCAGAGAATTTTTCGAACTTTATTTTCAACTGGAATCTTCTCAGGAAACTTAGAATTACACAGACTATCAGTATGAAGTTTTCTGAACAATGTTTAGTGCCTAAAAATGGCGCGATAAAAAAGTATGTAACAGCGTTACGTTTGTTTTTTGCTTTTTTAACGCGAGTAAAAATAGTTAGAAGAAAACTTCTTTTACCGCTGAAACGCTGGTTCGATGCTCTACAAAATTTGCTCTAGGGGCATTTCATTTGGAGAACGACTTTCACAGGAAATTAGAACTTTAGCACGAGCACTCCGAATTTAGGGTCTTTCTATGTAACAGCGTTACGCGATGAAAAAACCTTTCTTGAAGCTCGAAACTTCAACCAAAAAACTTCGTTTTTAAAGTAGTATAAATAGAGTATATGATGAGCTGCGTCGAATGGTGTTTTAACGAACTTTCTAGCTCTCCAACTTTCCCAGATAATTGAAAAAAAGTGTGTCAAGTACAGCGTTACGTTTGGACGAAAAGTCATTTAAGATTGAGATCTACTGAAAAACATGATTTTTACCATTCATTATGAATTCTGTTGCAGAAAATGGGACATTGGCGCAACTAGAACATTGGCGACCCGCTTGTTCCATTGGGTCACAGCGAAAAAAGTAAGCTCTGCCTGTGGTGCTTGATCCAACCAAACAAGCGGGTCACTAATTTGCTAGTTATGCCAATATTAAAATGTGCACAATTCTTAATTTATTGTTGGCTCTTTTCTTTTATTGAATTCTGCATTGAAGTTTTATTTACGTATAATAATAAACTTTGACCGGCTACAAAATTAGATACGAGAAAATATTATTAGCGATTACTGATGCAACTATAGAAATTATAGGATAGATTGATCAACAAAGTCACAACAGGTGCAAATTTTCTGGCTTTCTTGCACCGCTCAACGTTGACACATGGATACCTATGATACGTGAATAGTGTGACAACTCATAATTTGCAATGTTATCTTATTTTACAATATTTTTTAACTATCACTATTTTTTCAATAAATCGTATGTTGATTGAAAGTTTTCTGGAAACAAAACTCTGAAACAAAGCCAAAATACATGTCGTTAAATACTACCATGTAAGAGATTGTATTAAATCCCGAATCCCAAAGATGTATCCTCAAAATCTCAGTTAATTGTATCCAAATGAAAATTAAACTTGAATGAGAAATAAAAATAATGGGGGATAACCGTCAATTTTCTTTGGTGTCATTTGAAAGAAGCCGATTCGATGAAGCCGAGAGGTGGTGAAAGTCGGGCTTTTTGGAACATTGAGCGCATCAGAAAGCCTAAGTACTTCGAGTTCCAGTGAGACGAGCTCAGGCAGATGCTGGATGTATTTGAGAATGTCTTGAACCGATACCCTGTCTAAGTGAATATGGCGAATAGTCGTATTCGGGAGAGCACGAATTTCCTCGTTGAGCCGCAAGATAACCGAGCGAGGTGAGACAAGTGAAACGTTGTTCGCCGACGAGAAGTCGGTCGCTAAAGGTCTTGTCCATAATAGCCAAATTGATATGTTTTAGATGAGGCATGTTATTCGGACAAATCTGTTTGTACAGGTACTCATCGTATTTGCGCGAGTAGAAAGAACGAATATTGATGAAGGGGCGAAGATCGCGAATGGGTGGTTACCCATTCGCGTTCGTCTTTCAAATAGACGATTTGTAAGGCGAAGTATGCTAAGCAGTCCTTGTAAGTGTCGAGATTCTCTCTGTACTTCGTGTGAACACTGATGGGAACTAATCGGAGGATAACCGATACGAGAATTGAGGTTACACCAACCTCGAAAGAGATCGAGAACCATGATGAATGCAAAACCTCCAAAATTATCTCGTCAGGCAGGAGTTCGACACGTGATGGCATTACGAAAAATGACCTGAAAACAAGGGCAGATTAATTGTAATAACGTGTCAAAAAAAAGCATCATCGACACGACGCACGACTATGGCAAACGAAGAATAAAGCCTCATGGAAAGGACAGAAGCAAGATAAGATCGCCGTGTATGTGTACTGAATGACTGCATGATAAGTCAGGAAACAAAAAAGTGTCTCAGGGCAAACAAGATTTTACTGAGTTTTTTTGCCGTTTTCTTCCGTTTAGCCAAAGGCATCGTTTTCGTACACTTAACAAATGTTGGCCAAGATTTTTTGTGACGTTTTCTACCATAGAGTGAATCCATTCTAGTTCGAGATGAATTCCGAGCATATAAGTAAATAGTTTCAGAAAAGCCAAATCGTCTCATTATTTAACACGCAAAAAAGTGCTCTTTCAAGTTGTATTTTCGATTATTCTTCAAGTAGTCGACTGCCGCAGTCTTGATCTTCAAAAGGCTTTGCCAGAAAATCGTGCAAGCAGCGATAGTATATGCACATGCGTCCCAAAAAACTGATTTGGATGTTGATGCCATAAGGTTCTGCGCACAAAAGTAAGGTTGCAGTTTTATTTGGACATCGTTCGGACAGCTAACATTTGTACAGAAAGAGCTCCATCGGATAATCTTTCAAGTTTCTGTCGCTCCACAACGTTGGAAAATAGTGAATGACGCATCAATCGATAGAGCTCAAAAAGCTGCGTCGAATGAAAGTAGTTTCAGACAGTTTTGGCCTAGAATCAATCTCCAAAACAGGTTTTTCAAAACTTTTGGGTTTTGCAGTATTACATTATTAGTTAGATCGCACTATACTCAGCAGATAGGAAATCATGTCAGTCATGTAGTACACACAACTCCCTATAAGATGATGTAGCAAAGTTAATCTTGATAAAGCAATATCCTTTTTAATCAAGATTTTTATATTTAAATTTAATTTTTTTCCAGTGAGATTTTATTTTGCATAATTTAGAAAATATTAGGTTTTATCCAGGATGTTTTGATTAGTTGAATAAAAACTAATAAAGTTGAGACAAAGTCCAATGACCGGACTTGTATAATTGGTTTTTGTAAAAATTCAGTAATTCGCTCTTAAGAATTTTTCTAAGGCTAAAAGTTTGAATTTATAGGCAATTTTCATGAAGAAGTTAAAAATCGCATTTAAAAAAATTTTTTATACACTTTCTTAATATCCCCATGAACTATACCTTAATTTTCAAATAAGACTGCCTTCCGTTGTCAATCTTTTTGAAAATTGCAAACCAGTACACATAAAAAAAATATTGTTCGAACGGCGGAAAAGATTTCAAAAGTTCGAGATCCAAATTAGACTCTCGGTTAGATATGTAAGTTCGTCTGTATCCTATCCCAATCTGGTATTGTTTATCGTTTATAAATTATAAACATCTTTCTGGACATGTAATGGATGAAAAAGACGAAAGAGAACTGAATACATGCTTGAATTCAATTATTCAAAAAGTAGCTGAAGTTATTGAAACATCAAAAGATAAACAAAAACAACCGCTTACTTCTACTTTTGCTCCTCCGCCTGCTTCTCAACAAGAAACAGTCGATGATCCATTGTTCAATAATTCTGTTCAAAGCAATAATTTAAACACGTTTACAGTTGACAATGATGAAAAAGAATTACTCGATACACTGACAAATGACGTTCAAAATATACTATAAGCACGTTTAACTCTGTTAAAAATAAATTTGTTCAACCTCTATTGAAGAATATTTGCATCAACATCATTTTAATAGAGAACTAACAGTATTCAAGAGAACTAACAGTATTCACCGAAGAATTGACAGTTAATATTCTTAATACACTTGAACATGATCTTCATAGTTTACTAATGGCAGCAAAAGTATATCAGGTGGTCCTATGCGGTGAATTGAAAGCTGTTGAAGAATTTCTTAAGCGTTTTCTAAACTATAAAGATAAAGTGAGTTTTTAGGATGCACGTAACCGTCATATGCCTGTAGTCAAATATTTATTAAGACAACTGCCTGTTCAGTAAGTGCCCAAAATCAAGTTGATATCAATTACAAGCTTCGTAATTGTCCTGTTTTTATATGAGAACATCCTGTTTTATCCTGGTTTTCGAAATTTTCCTGTTTTTTCTGTATTTTGACTTCTTTCTATAGTCTTACTGTTGACTGTCGTAAAATCTGTTAGGAAGTCTTTGCTTCTTACGTGAATCCAACCAACCAGCCAGTTAGATAAATATTTTTATTTTATTCAGTCAAACAAGAGAACGGCAGACTAGCAGAAATCACGTTTACACCAAGGATCAGAATGTCCCCTCCCCATAAAGGTTGACTCTATAAATTTCACACACTCATGCCAAAATGCTAAACAAAAAAAGTAAAAAAAAGAAAGACAGAGAAGAAATGAAGAGTAAAGAAAAAGTAAAATGAAGTATGATGTTAGATATGGGCGGTTCGGGACCAAGGACCAAAAAACTGATCTGTAAAAATAAAACTTTCGTTGTAGAATCAAATTCTAATGTGAGTTTCAAACCCGTTTTTTATCAAATTTTTTCTTGCAAGGCCGTACAAAGCTCCACAACGCAGTAAAATAGCAAAAAGCCGCATTAGCGGCGGAACATTTTTTGCGTGTTCCATGGGCAAATTTTTCGTCAGAACCAAACAATTAACTACGGGACCGGGAGCCAAAAAGGCTAATCCCATCCATCTCTAGTTGTTGTACGTATAGAAAAAGAGGAAGATGAACAAAAACAACAATAATAATACTGGACGGATAATTGAAAAGAGACATAAGCTTGATATATACGATTATCTATGACTATATTTTAATGCTGTATAACATTTTTCAATTATTATTTTAATCTTAAAGATCAAGTGAATTTTTAGTTTATGTCTCGCAATGCATTATTTAACACATTGTGATAAATCTCACTTGTCGTTTTTGTACATTCGTGTATTTTCTGTTTTTCTAAGGAAAAAAATCCTCTCCTGTTCCTGTTTTTTGAAAGTGGATAGTACGAACCCTGCAATTATGTTCTATCGAAAGATAATGCCTCAACAACAAGCAGGAATTAAACTTGATCTGAGAGCAGCATCGACTGCATTACACGCCATTTGTTTCAGTAATAACCTTGATGTCGTCAAATATTTGATTGACAAATTGTTTTCTATTAGCTCATTTAGGTAAAACATCTACATAAAATGCTCAAGACAATTGACTGCACTATATACGAGTGGAAAAAAGAATAGTTACAACCCCATTTATTTTGTAGTACTTGTATAAAACAATATCGAAAAAGCAAAAAAATGACAGCAAACTTGTATTTCCATGAATAATATTACCTTTATACAATTTAAAAACAGACAGCAAAAAGAGATTAGACGATTACAGTTTTATTGCGTTTAGTTTACAATAAGTGGAATAATGAGAGTTAATAATATAAGTTTTTTTAGTGTACATTTCTAGCATAGCATACATAAAATAAAATTACATGAGTTAGGAAGATTGCAATAAAAAGAGAAAACTGTTTGCACATTAATACCAAAACAAATAGCAGAAACAATTACGTTGTTTAGGATGAGATAAAACGAGAGACAAAAAAAAAGTCGGTTGTATCTGACAAACAGACAGAAAGTCTCACATCTGCCTTTGAACACTTGAAGAAAGTCAGATCTTTTCATACTTTCAGTATGCACTCAATGTATTTTACAATAGATTAGTGCTGTCGCAAGAACGTTGACAAATATTATCACTCTGCTAGACACTATTGTAAATCTATTACGCTGACTGATCACTGAAAAACAAAAGATCGTGATAGTTTGTTTTATCGCACATGTCGTTATGAATATCTGAATGGTTCAATATAATTCATGTGCGAAAAACAACGAACAATATTCAAAATGTTTCACATTTTCAAAAGTAGGAAAAAAGAAACAAAAAATTTGACATATAAAAAGTGTAGATCAAAGATAAATATATAAAATACAAAAGCACGATGACAAACCACAAGTTTCAACTAAATATTCTCTAATTGTTCAAAATCGTTATGATTTGACTTAGGGATATTCAATATGTCAAACTGCATTGAGAAATGACATGCAATTAAACTCTACCAGTTTTCAAAAATAAAAAGTAAAAACATCCTGAGTAGATAAGTGTGAATAAACTAATACATTTTTGGTTAAAGTGTTAAACTTATCAGCCATTCACATTTCATTATTACATAGACCCCAAAAAGCACAAGGATAAATCAAGCGCCGAAGCGAAATAAAGCAATTATCTACACTTTTACAATCACATTGTCATTGTGTAGTTTAACGTAGTTATCAAATCAAATATTTCTAACGGTAAGGAGCTAACATGAATAAAAAAGAAAAAGGTCAAAAACACACACACACAGATACGCCAAAAATGTGGCAATGAAATGCTTAGCAACAAAAAAACATTGTAGAAAATGCAGTAGAAAAAATGATCAAAAAATCATTCACTATTCAAATTTTAATACTGGATTGAAATCGCTATACTAAAGGGGTAAAAAAAAGCTATACTAGGTAGGATGTAAAAGATTTACAAAACAAAAATGTTATTTTGCGGACATATAAATTATCTTGGAAAAAAATTGCGATAAAGTAAAAGAAAAGTTTGTTGGACCGTAGTGGACTGATTAAGCATCTAAACAAGAAATATATGAAACAATTATCAAACAAGAGTTGTACTGTCAATCCTTTCATCACGTACTCAAACTGTTATCCTCAAACTGAGCTAATGTTGCTCTTAGTTCTTGCAGTTCACTGCCAATAAAATCGTAGACTAATGCTCTTGATGAATTTTGTCGTTGTTTCGGTGGTAACGGTGGTCCATCATCTTCGTCTTCGTCTTTTCCTGATTTATCAATAGGTGGTAGTTTATAGTGATCTGTTAATAATAAATGTTCTTCGATATTTTTTGATGAATTTTTCCTTGTTGGCAAATGTTGTTTTGGTAGGATGACTGGTGCGCCATTAATGAGTATTTCATGAGGAATGTTTTGTTTTTTATTAATCATAGCATAGTCAATTTTCTTGTTATTCATGTTTCCATTAAGATTCATATAATTATTTTTATTTCCTTTTGTTTTCATATCTTCTTGTTCCTTTTTCAATAATGGTTCATCAAATATCAATTTTTTCTTTAATGGTGATAACTTTTTTCCACCAGTTTGATTTTCTGGTACATTATCATAACCACTCGGATAAACTAATGGCAAAACTTGTTCATTTTGATCCGATGGACTTTACAAAGATAAAAGTAATAGATATTAACCATAGAAATGAGAGATTAAAGACAAGATAACATACTGTGACAATGTTGTTGCCATTGTGTCACTTTTAGGTATCGGTTTGTATATTTCATTCAATAAGATCTAAACAGAGGCAGTGTATAATTATTCTACAAATACTCTACTCACATGAGTCATCTTACTTTTCTTGTAGAATTATCTTGTCGAAGCATTGTATTACCATTGCCATTGCCATTCATTAGGTGACTTGAACTATTCGCTGATGAACTTGGAGTATCGCAACTGAAATAAACAAACAGCAACATTAAAACCACGTAGAGAAATAAACAGACCACGGAGTTGACACACTATTAGCGAGATCTATTGATTACTCATGGTTATCAGTTTCCTATTATTATTCTTTCGAAAACAGGTTGCAAGGATTATAACATCTTGCATGTTTTAGAATAAAAATATCTTACAATGATTTTGAACGTTCAATCGTTAAATAACGTTCTTTTCGCTTGACTTCTCGATTTCCAAATTTCAGTTTGACAAATTCATAAAACGCTTTTAGATCTTCAAACGGTGTCACCTAAAGAGGTAGAAAAAACATTTTTTCGATATCATTCATTCGTACTGTTGATATCTGTCGTACTTGTTTGCAATATTCTTCTATCGGATGTGAACCGTCGTGTGTTCGTGCGTGCGTTCCAGTAAAAAAACATTTTTGACATAAATCATAATTAAAACAACGTAAGCAACGATATCTAAACAAAATTAACAAATCCCTAAGTATCTTCGTATTGTACCAGCTCAAGTGTAAAAGAACAGTAAACGCGCGAAATTGGCAGTAATTTTTAAACCTTTCTCGGCAAATTACATACCGCATGCCAATGATTGGATAAGCTTTACATGTGTCACATCTTGCTTCATGTCTTACTAAAATACAGCGAAAGTAAAATTAATTTTTTCGTTGACAACATTCATTTGATAAGAACCTGTTTCTGTTGCGATTAAACGATGCATTGTTGGAAGCCACACGAGAGTTTGTGGTTCACGTCCCATCCAGTTAACAAAGATATCTTCTCGTACAATACCATCGTGTGTCTAAAGGGTTGCACATGTTTAATTATCGCTCAATAATGAAAAAAGCAACTTACATGATCGAGACAGCTTTGCACACAGGCTGGAATATTGTCGTAATGAAATGGATCAACCTTATCAAAATAGTTTGGTAACTAGAAAGATTAAAAAGAATCAATGTACACAATTTTAATCGATATTGACTAGAGTTTTAATTACTTTTAAAAGTATTTCGAATAATTCTGTTAATTTGCCTTGCGAAGCAATTACATTCGGATGTGTAACTTGACGAAAGAAACCTAAAATAAAGAGTTAAGTTAAATAAAAGACATCGCTAAAAAATTTGATCACTTTAAAAATAAATATGAACTAATCAAATCCTCCTTAAGTAGCACTGTTGTAAAAAAGAACATTACATCGATATTTTTCAGGCAACTTTGCATTGGACAAAGCAAATAGAATAATTTTAAATGCATTCACATCGAAATAATCTTGTGATTTTCTAGAAAAACAAAGAGAAACTATATTGTACACGTATCCTGTCTGATAGATGATTAGATATCTAATCTTACGCGTCTAGTATGTTCTTCATTATTTCCAGCAATGTATCAATTATTTCATCTATACTTGATTCATTAAAATGATATGGGGATAATAACTGATAAATGGCACATAATACTTTTCTTGCTTCGTCTTGTTTTATTGTGCCTGCTTCACCAAATTGTAGTTTATGAGTGTTGAAAGCACGAACAAGAACATTATAATCAACGTATGTTACTAAACAAGAAACCAACAACTTTGTTTTGATTCGTTTTCTTCGACATATTCTTTACTTACATTTCAAATACTTTTGTAATACTCGTAATTTACCAGCGACACGGTAAGCTGCAAACTTTATTTGTGATAGTGGCTCTAAAAATCATGTATACATCAGAGATATCTGCAAATTGTAATCAAGTTTTGAGATAATATACCAAGCTTATTACTGATTATGTCGTACAGTTTTTCACGAACTTCACTAAAAAAACCAAGACTAAATTTAGAATGCTTCACAACTTTGAAAAGCAAAAAAAAAACATACCCATTTGTTTTCTCGATGTCAAGATTCTCGTCAACATGATTGGTTTCTCCTACATCCATGATTCGCACGTACAAACAACGGTGAACGATATCGAATATAAGGTTCAACAAATGGACGAAGTATCTTAACACTCAAGTGTTTGTTTTATGTCTCATAGAGCAGGACACTGATAAAAACCACACCACAACGCGGGCAACGTTCGTCTGTGAAACCTCTGAGTATATATGCACAAAACTCAAGAAGGAAATAAAATACTGAATAAAAAAAACCGCATCCCACAGATACCACTCCATTTTTTTTTCTGTTAATTACCATACACAACCTTTGTTTGACCAATGACAAGGCTTGAGGAAATGCGAAAAACTACTCGAAAAATCCATTTTATTAAGGAAGTTTGAATTCATTTTCTTGTGAGAGTTGAATTTTGAGAATACTTAATCGTAGTTCGCATGGTGCCACAATCGACGCACATACACATATTTAGCAGGTTAAAAGAGTGCCTTAAACGAGATCATTTCTATTTTTGATAATATATCTGAAAAGTAAATTCTATTTTGAAGTACAGTAAATGTGTATAAATGTACAATGTGCTCAACTGGAGTTTTCGCTTAGAGTTGTTCATTTTCTTACATTTTTAATGGACGTCTGTCTATTGCTATGCTCTCATACTAATTTTTAGAAACTGGCGTAAATAATATTGTAAATAAAATTAGTATTTGATTTCTATCTTTAAAAACTCTCACAAATATGTTTTCTTTACCATACATTCGTGAGTCACCGGGTTCTTTAACTCTTAAAACAAAAATTCCTATGGAGTATAGTAGAGCGGTACTAACAAACATATGGCATGAAAAACGGCAGGCCGAACCAAAAGATTGTGATTTGAACACACTACCACGACGTAACATGCAAATAGCAACATATAAACGATTACAAAATACCACTTCAAATGAAGTATGTGCAGTTTTGTTTGTTATTCGTTTGTCTTTCGAACTAACAGCAGTTATTAAGATTTGGTCTAAGATTGAGAAAAAGCACGAACAGTTTGGTTGGGAGAAATTATGCAGTTGAATTATTCAGCAACATACTCCTCTTATTCAATTCTTATACTACCATTGTATCTTATCTAACTGTTTTCACAAATACTTTTAAAAACAAATTGTTTTTCTGTTCAGACTGGCCTACCAAAATCGACTACACAGGATCAACAAGAAGAACCATATATAAAACGACCATGGTATATGGAAGAGCAACACCCCCGTCCAATGATTGATCATGCAAATATGAATGTTGCAAATGCTGCTTTGGACAGGTTTTAATTTGCATAAATAAAAACTAAATAAATAAAAAAATCTGCTATTTTATTGCAGTTTAACTAATCGAACGCATTCTAAATATCAAAAACTTCTGCCAAGACATCCTAGTGACTTCGGCAAACCTTCGTTCGATACAACATACGGAAGTGACTTCATACCACCCTATCCATATCATATGAAAACGGTACTCAAATTTTGTAAATTTATTGTTTTATCAAGCATTTGCTGGAAGTTACCTTGTGAATAGATATAATCATCGCTCGCTTTTTAGAACTTCTGCCTTGCTGTCACAACTGTCGTTTGAAATTTCTCAGAGGAAAGTAGTTATTTTAGAAAGATATTTTCTTTTGCTAAGGTAAAGAGTTGTTGAGCAAACGAGAAAAGAATTTCCCTGCTGGAGAAAAAACGTTTTTTTTCTTTCTAAATAGAGAATAAACTTCGAGAAAGCATTCTCCCAAAATTTTTGGACAAGAAAAAGCTACTTTCCTCTCTGCTTTCCCCCGTCTTGCATGAACAGAAACACGAAAAATTATCGTTGATCATACAAGTTATTTTTCATCTTCACTAGAAGCACTTTTTACTCTAACCATTGATAAGCCATAGTCTGCATCTTATTTAATCAAACTGATGTACTTCTTCTTTTAGAGTGATCATTCAGAATATGCAAATAAGGTATAATTTATTCAGTTTTTTCTTTTTGAACATTCACTATAATTAAAATACTTAATTTTTTTAGAGTTATCCAACTTATCCAGACAAATCGTGGGGATACCGTAAGATGATTTCGCAGTTCACTGATGTTGATCAGCCACGACGATCAGGAATTAATACATTTCATATTCAACATGGATCATACGAGAATCGAGAAATGCGTCGCGAAATGGGACATTTTGCACCAACAAATCCATTTCCAATTCAATTAGAATAATTTCATACTTCTTCTTGTTTATCTGATGCAAAGTTTTTTGTTTATTTTATTGTTCTGAATAAAAAAGAAGGCTTGGCGCACTAATTTTCAAATAAACACACCATGTGACATTGCAAAAGAAAAGTCGAAAAATAGATCGGATAGTCATATAAAAGAAAAATACCAATTTTGGTTGCACAACAAATTTGATCATTGACAACTGGTGATTTTTTTCTGAATAGAAAAAAATCTTGCAGAGCCTACATTCATGCTATTTTCCGCAATGTAACGTCGCTCTGATGTCGAATCAAAGGCAAAATTAAAAGTATCGCACTACCAATTATATTGAACAAGATGATCCTAAAGTACTTTTTTTGGAAAATAAATCTGAATCAGATCTGCAACAGAAGCTTGCAGATTCACTCTAGAATGTGGACAAGATTCTTAGTAGAAAATTCCTCAGAATACGTGAAAAATCTACATAGATTAGTCGCAGGTTTGTACAACGGTTGGTACAAAAGAAAAATTCACATAATCTTCACTTTTTCCTAGCTCTCAGTTGTTAAAACTGTTTCATCATTTAACTCGCACCTAGTAAACGTACTAAAAGATTGAACAAGTAAAATAAAACTGAGTTGTTTTAGTCTATAATATTGTTACAAAAATGTCACACAGTAACAAATTTGGATTGTGTTTGCGCTTTCGTTGTGTTTTGAGTTTGTGAAAGTCGTGTTTTGTTTTGTAACAATATGAAAATCTGAAGTAATACTATTGATTCCCTGAAGAGCCAGCGAATAAATTTTTTTTGCATATGTCCGATATAAAAACGTTCAGGTATTAATAATTCGAAAATTTTGACGAGCCTTTAATTTTTGTTGTTTCAATGCTTTATAACAAGTATTATATACACGATAGAAATCATTTTTATTTATTGTAAGGTTTAAATCACTAAAGAATCGTTATTGCCGCTTTGGTCCTACACTCTCATTCGTATCATTATTCTCCGAGCGACTTAACTATATCTTGACCGGTGTTACCGATTGTTTCAGGGAATGGCAAGGGCTATAAATTTGGCAGAGATTGTCCCACTAGGACTTTCTGTCAAACAAACAAAGAGAGAATAAAACGACTTTTTGCGAGTGTTGATAGAAAGCACAACGATTGCATTGATTATCTGTTGAAACAATGGTCTACTGTACTATATTGGCGCTATCAAGAACCGGCTTCATGTGACCTCTTTTGATGCTAAGTTGCGAGGTTTTCCACTTGCTGTCCTGAAAAATTTTCGCAAAAAGAACTTAGAAAAATTTTGGCAGAAAGCACTGGAATTTTATCAGGGGAAAGCCCCTGCCTGATTCCCCCTCGCCTCTCCTCAATCGGGGATACTGACACTGACAATGAGAACACATCTATAGGTGATTTTTTGGATATACAATCTACAACTATTAAACAATGTTCTATGTAAGTTTCAAGTAGAATATTGATTCTACATGGGCAAAAATTTTCATGACAAAAATGAAAGGTGTGTTGAAATTAAATAATCGCTATAACTCACTCTGAGTCTCGAGATAAGATATTTATAGAGTTGTTTAATAGTCGGGCTTTAAACTGACATGTGAAATATTAAATTTACCTTTTGTGCTTTCTAAGATAATTTAAAGACAAAAATGTAAAATTCAGTTAACTCCAAGACGACGTAGCCAATTGAGCTGAATGTTTGCCTATGAGCCATTGCATGAGAGAAGCAACAAATCATGCTCAATCGATGTATCAGGTTTACTTCTAACTAGTCCTATCTTGTTCAGCATGTCTGAAAACTTATAAACCCAAATTTTGAGCCTTCTAGGACTTTTACTTTCTGAGTTCTGGACGGCTTTCTAGAGTCCGCTCGATGGAAAATTCAGCGTCTAAAAAATGGTGAGCAAAAATAAAGATTCTGTTTCTTCGCCAAGGCGAGTGATGGAAGAGGGATTTTTTCATCCTATGTAGTCTATTGCACGGTCTATCCGATAATGCGATC